GATGATGTGGACAAAATACTCATTTGCCTAATAATTCTGCACTCCCTGTATACAGCTGCGTGCGTGTGGTGACGGCGTGTCGGTAAGCCGAGCTACGGCTGCAAAGGGTGTGGTGGCCGCTTCAGTCCGTCCAATCATGTGACAGTGAGACGGAAAGCACAGAGCAGAGCGCAGGGCGGAGTCCAGAGTGACGTGCATACACACAGTTTAAAGTGCAGTTTGTTGTGTGTCTGATGATGTCGTGTTGTGTTTCAGGAGGCGTTGTCGGACTCGGACAGGATCAGGTGAGTCCGTTTGAACGTAACTTCCTGTCTGTCACGCCTTCTCATTAGCTTAGCCGTTAAAACAGGAAGCTGGGCAGCATTTGTCATCAAGCAGCTTCAAACTAAAGGACGTGTGGGCTGTTTGTCCCGTTAGTGTCGGTTATTAACAGGAAGCAGCTTTTAGTTCAGCCAGGGTCATGTGGTCTCTGAACAGGAAGCTCTGTCTTCATCACTTCCTGTCTCCTCCCAGAATCCTTCAGCAGCAGAATGAGGACCTGCGGCGCCGCCTCTCTCTCACCACCCACAAGATGGAGGCCATGGAGGCGGAGTTTGACAGCAACCGCCACTACATGGAGGCGGAGCTTAGCCGGACTCGAGACGACCTGGACAAGATGAGAGACAAGTTCCGCAGGTGGGTGGAGTCAGTTCATCAGGAATGAGAGTGTCAGTCGCACCGCTCACTCTCTTCCATGAAGTACACTTGCAGTACTTGTACTTTGATGTTTGCAGTACTTGTACTTTGATGAATGGTCCCGTGCAGCTGTACGCTCACGGTTGAGATTTCTTTAACCAACAAACGCGATCCTCGCAGCGCCGATAAAATCAGCTGACCCTTTCCGTACGCGTGTGCTTTGCTCTGATCGAAGGTTAATCAGCTGACCGGCCTGCGCCCGAGTCTGCACGCGCTCCGTCACGCTGCTGTGTGTACTGTGTTTCTCGCAGATCAGAAAGTACTTGTTCACGTACCTGTCAGCGACGCCCGCCGTCACAGCCACACATGGAGTCCCGTCGTCTCTTACGCGACCCATCCACGTGGCGGTTTCTCGTCTCTACAGGCGGGGAAACGCTGATCACAGCGCTGAGTCTCTATCTGCTCCGGCTCAACACTCTGGCCTCCAATGAGCCTCGCCTCCAGCGCTCTGCTTCCGTGTCTGACGCGGCAGCGATTGAAGGGTCAAACGCACTGCTGCAGTCTACGGTCGGGCGAGCATTACTCATACTGGTGCTCTCTCTCTCTCCCACCTGCAGACTCCAGAACAGTTACACAGCGTCTCAGAGAGCCAATCAGGATCTGGAGGAGAAACTTCACGCTCTGGTAAACCTCTGCCTCTCACTCACCTGACCTTTGACCTTGAGATACTCGGGAGCACCATAGCAACAGGGTTGATCGAGCTCATCCAATAACTGATCAATACCTGAATAAAAACACTGAGGCAGCGTATTGATCACCTGTGGGAGAGCCACGGTTACAGTTTGGACATGTTTGTTCAAACAAAATGTTCCGTGTTTTTTACAAATCCACTGAGCATGTGCAGTGACCTTGGGTTACTGGGCAGTGCAGGGGTGTGTTATGTTACTGAGTGTGTGCATTTATGGTGATGTCATCAGCAGGAACGGCCTGTTCAAAAACTGTCACAGTGACTATTCACGCAGCGCAGACAACGCTAGCTGGCATTGGTGTTGAAATTGAGTCAACCAATCACTAACAGTGCCAAATGAGTGTCAAGCAGCATGACTCCGCCCACTGACTCCAAATGAAAGAAACAATGAGCTGCTGTGGCTCCACGGGCATTTCAGAGAGGACATTAGAGTGAAGCTGCTGTTCGGTCTTTAAGTGATGACTTATGAACCCTGGGTCTAAACTGCTCTGTTTATTAAGGCTGTTGTGTTTTTAACATGTTTTAATGTTTTGTATCTTGTTCTGTTTAATCTGAACAAGCTACTAAAAACAGTCAGTGATCACTGTCGGCCTCTGTTTTTATTGCAGCTGCTTAGTTTTAAACCCTTATGATGTAACTGCAGCCCAGCCCATGCAGCAGTATATGAATGACTAACCTCGTATTGTGGATGGATTATCTCAGTTGTTCTCCTGGCTGAAGTTTGGTCCGTTTACAGCATCCTGCCATGCGATTGCATTTGTCTCTAACCATCGGGAACCTTCACGTTAACTTTTATAGAGTGGAAAAAAGTTAGCATTCATCCTCCAGCTTCACTGTTTATGTTATGCTAACATAGCTGTGTAGCTAGCGATCACATAGGACATCATTATATACCAGCTAGCACAACTTCAGTAACCCTACAAACGTCACTGCTGTTTAGTTTTCTGTCTTCATTTATGCTGGAAGTGATAGCAGAGCTGTACGTTTGAATTTGTTTCAGAAATCTCTCAGTCAGGACATGCTATATCCTGTTTAGGTAGAAGCTAGGGAGCTAACTTCCTGCTAACTTCTAACTCCGTTAAATGTCATAAATTCCGTTTTCATGGATGCCTGGATGATAAACTTAATTGTTACACCTGGTAAAGCAGCAACGCTGATCATTTTATTAAAGATGAAAGAATTTAGACAGTTTTTAACTCTCTGTGATGCTGCAGTGTTCGTTTGACTTTGGGACCTGAAGCGGAGTTTGGACCCGGAAACAGCTCATGACGTCAGACTTAAAGATTGGATACTGGGTGTCAGTTTATTCGTGCTAGCATGTGAGCCAACTGTCCCCAGGTTCATGCAGTGCAGCGGACTCACAGCTAGCTGGCTAACTGTAGCTATGTTGCTAACATTATTGCTAACAGGCTATTTTCCAGTTTCGCTGAGCAGCTAACGTTAGCCTGTTTGTGTCTGTGGTCAGTTTTTATTTCACTCCTTAGGATATAATTTACAGGCACAAAGTGATGTAGCGTTTACTCTCCGCAATGGCAATTGTTAGCCAGCTAGCTGTAAGTGGTCTCTGACACGGGCAGCGTCATAAACCGCTGTATTTCTGGTGCTCAGGTGTGCACGCTGCCGAACACGCAATGACTGTTGGCTGAGTGGGCACAGGGGGTGCCAGCGACCTCTGAAAGTTTGGGTGGGAGCTCAGCTGGGGTGGGTGGGGTTAGAGGTGGTGAACAGTTGACAAACTTCCTGTTTTTGTCTGACTGTCGTTCTTCATCTGTTTCTTTATTTCTCCTTTTTCGCACGCTGCTCCCTGGTGGATTGACTCATCTTCATCACCTCCACCTTCATCACCTCCATCCTCATCGCCTCCATCAGGCTGCTGTCAGTCAGACATGGGTTCATGCAGTTGCGTTTCATGTTCTTCTTCCTCCTCCCTCTCTGTCCCCCCTCCTCCTCCTCCTGTTTGAGTACCAAGTCCTCTCGTTCAGCTGTTAAACTGATTTTTCTGGGAGAAACCTGAGCAGCTTTGAGAGGCATGAGCTCAGCCTCCATCAGCCTCCACCTGTTCCTCCTTTAGTGTTACTGTAAGTTCTCTGTGACCGAGCTGGACTGAAGATCCGGCTGATTTCCGCCTTAAAGACTCGGCTCGCTGCGTTTTGAACTTTTTGGGCTTGGTGTTCAAACTCCACCCATCTCCGCCAATGGCGGTCGTGCATCCAGTTTTGTTTTGTTTTTTGTTTTTTTAGCTTTTAGGTTTTCTGAGCTCGCCTGACGGATCAGGACGAACTGAAGGTTCGTCTTCAGGAAGAGACGATAAAAACGTGTCCGATATTACCGAACATTCACGATAGTGAGGAAAATCATTCCCATCAAAAATACTTTTCTCCCGGAATATTTTCTCAAGTTTGTTTTTCCTCTTTTGGAGAAATATCAAATCTTAATTTTAAATCCCGACTTTTCTGTTTGTTGGATAAAAATGTCGTTTGTATTTTTAGAATCAGACTTTGTTAAAATGTTGATTTAAGACTAAATATTTGTGTTTCTTGCAGCTTTTTAAAAAACATATTTTGATATAAAATGTTTCTGGAAATCAGAACTTTTGACATTAAAAAAAAAATGTAAAAAAAATAGCGTTTTTTTTTTTTTTTTTTTTTTCCCAGAGCTGCTGTGAACAGCACACTTGTTGGTCAGTAACAAATGGTGCTCATTTCCACCTGCAGTGGGCGGAGCTTGTCCATTACATTCTCCGTGGTGCTGCACGCGTGCAGAATGCGTTCCTCTAGCTGCGGACGAAGGTCCTGATCTGACGATGAGCAGAAAACTTATGCTCACGTTTGAGACGTGCTTGCAGAGTAAAAGCTGAACATCAAGCTTTTTTTCCAGCTTCAGCGCTTTGATCGGGATCTTATCGATCTTATTGATCTCCTAGCACACGCCACTGCTTCCCATAATGCATCTGTAAGAGCTGCTGGCTTAATGCAGCATTCAAATGATCTGGGAAAACTAGCTTAACTTCACAGCGCTGGCTGAAGGAGGACTAGTTTGAAAAGCTGACAGGAGAGGCTGAGCTGCACGGAAAACTACAAACATGTTGCCCACACGGAAAAATGTGCAATTCAGTTTTTTCCCACATGATCTGAATGTAGGTTTCCGCTGAAGGCCCACCTGCTGTTGCCTCAGGCTCCTGATTGGCTGCTTTACTGTGACTGATAGCTGGTACGCTAATGCTTTGTCTTTACCCCGCCCACAGCTGCGGAAGGTGGAGAGGGACAAGAAGACGATGGACCAGGAGATCGTGCAGCTCACCAACAAACTGCTGGAGGCTAAAAACACAATCGACCATCTGGAGGAGCTCAACGTGAGAACAAACAGTCACTTGTGTAAAAACGTTCAGCTTCCAGGTCAAAGTTCAAAGTGTCAGGTGTTTCACAGTGAGACGACAGGAAGTAAAAACTACTGTGTGATAACTTCCTGATTGTCAAGACTTGCTGTGACCCTATTGACGGTCTCTGTAAAACCATTGTTCTGCAGGATGGGCTTTTATTTTGTTTAATGGTGTCTGTTTCCTCTGAGCGTGCTCTGACTGATGCTGTCTTCTGTCTGCAGGAGCGCTACAGGCAGGACTGTAATTTGGCCGTTCAGCTGCTCAAGTGCAACAAGTCGCACTTCAGGAACCACAAATTTGCTGATGTGAGTAACTTTTATTATTACGAGTGGGAAATGCTCTGAATCTGCAGTCTCTCAAACGTCCAGCAGGGGGCGACTCTGAGAAAATGAACCTCCTGCTCAGCTGACCTCTGACCCTAGTGAACTGTTTCCTGATTGTTTTGAGGTCTGAGTGAAACAAACGTGAAGTTAATTTGGGAGGATTTTAGTCCCTGTGGCGTCACAGCACTGCAGGAAGCAGCTGAGGGCGGGCCTACCTGTAGTTATCAGGGCAGTGTAGCTCAGCAGTGTCTCTGGGTTCAAAGGTCACATCTGCCTCTCACTCTGCTCCAACTGTGGTAGTTTCTTGCTCCAGCTGACAGGCAGAGTGTCAGTACTGAACGTCAGAGCTGACGTCACTGGAAGGTCCTCGCCGCTGCAGATGGCGAGGAGTTTTCCACTGGTCAGCAGGAAGCGGGCGAATGAATCCCCAGTATTACGCTTTAATGGAGGAAACTGGCACACGCGCTAATGCCATTAAAGCGTGAGAGTGGGATCGATCTGCTGCCTGCATCAGACCCATTAGTTTAGAGACACACACGGATATTTCCAGGAGTGTGTGTGTGTGTGTGTGTTTGTGTTTGTGAGGACTACTGACTTTGAAATGGGTCACCATGACAACCACTGCACATGACTTCAGCTCTGCGCTGGATTTCTGGAACAGGAAGTGACATATTTGGGTGAGAGGCGTGGTTATCTGGCCGTAGGTATCAAAGAGCTCCAGTTCAGGTGAAGCCTAGCAGACCATTAGCAGCAAGAGGCCACGCCCCTAATAATGGAAACCTTAAACCTCAATACAGTTTAGACAAGTGACTTAAAAGCATCCTCCCCATGGACAGGTGTTACATTTGTCTCTGACTTTTCTTTGATATATAAAACTGTGTCATCTGCATCTCGTGATAGAGGTGTTACCGTAGAGACCAAACAGTTTGTGTGTTCGGCCGTAAACACGTTCATTTCTGCTGTGATGTTGTAACTCGGGGGACTGACTCACTGCTGCCTCTGCTGGTTGTTAGAGGTACTGCAGGTTCTGTAACTTCTTGTTTTAGACCTACAGTTTATTGGCTGATGAAGACTTTAGTTTGTGACCCTATATGTGGAGCTGAGTGCCGAAAGAACGGGAATTAAACCTGTGTGTGTGTGTGTGTGTGTGTGTGTGTGTGTGTGTGTGTGTGTGCGCAGCTGCCCTCAGAGCTTCAGGACATGCTGAACAAACACATGAAGAGCAGTCTCCCAGAGCGAGGCCCCGCCCCCAGCTCTCAGGACCCAGACACGCTCAGTTTGACGCCCGCCGACGTCGTGCCGACCTCGGTCATCGCCCGTGTCCTAGAGAAACCCGAGCCGCTGGTCCTGAACTCTGCCCAGTCCAGCAGCTGCGGCCGGCCCGTCGCCGAAGACGTCTTCGTGCACGTGGACATGACGGGCCCCGGGGGGTCAGAGGGGCGAGGCCGGGAGAACGGTGCCGGTCAGGAGGCGTCGCAGCAGAACGGCTCGTGTCGCAGTCAAAGCAGCTTGGATGAAGAGGCAGGTGGAGCTCCATCTTTCGAGAAGCTGAACCCGTACCCGGCGCCACCTCCACCCCACCCCCTCTACCCCGGGCGCAAGGTCATCGAGTTCTCGTCGGACGACAAAGTGAAGATCCCGAAAAACTCGCCGCTGCCCAACTGCACATACGCCACGAGGCAGGCCATCTCGCTGAGCCTCGTGCAGAATGACGACGAGCGGTTGGCACCTGGCAGCCCCGCCCCCTCCTCCTCCTCTGGAGCCCAACAGCGCACGCCACCATCACAGAGAGACGCCCCCAGCGAGCCGCTGTCCAGCCAGTCCAGCCCATTCAGCAGCCCGCCTCAGGTAACTGAAGCCCCACCCACCATCACACTAGTTAAATCTCAGATGCGAGCTTACGACAATGATGATGATGATGATGATGATGATGATGTTGTTGTTTTTAACCCCTCCCACTCAGGCACCCAGTGTCCTCGCGAGCTCTGGCAGCTCTGAGGAAGACCTGCTCGCCAACTGGCAGCGGATGTTCGTGGAGAAGATGGCGCCGTCCAGCGACGGCACGCTGCTGCACCGCACGTCCTTCAGTAGCCAGACGGCTCAGGAGCTGCAGAGGAGGAGGCAGGTGGCGGTGGGAGTGGCCTCCTCCTCAGACCGGCACAGGGCGGCGTACTCTGACGGTGAGGAAGGCTCATCGGCACGCAGCTGGACACCGAGCCGCGGCTCCAGCCTTGACACAGACACCGACACCGAGCAGCGGGTGGGGAGGCGGGGCTGTTACGGCGGCAGGGACTGTTCGGAGGAGGAGGAGGGAGAGCAGCTGCTGATGAACCTGGATGATGACGGCGGGAGCGGGGACACTGCAGTCACCGTGGTGACCAGCCCCGGTGACGCCCGCAGGGAGCTGGAGGAGGAGGGCGAGAGCTCAGGGGAGGAGAGAGACATCCTGCCCCACGAACTGCCCGTCATCTCAACCCGTCTAATGGACTTGGACCCCGCCCTTGGCGCCATCGCGCTGCATCGGCCCCAGAAGAGCCCGAAGAGGATGGGAGTGCACCACCTGCACCGGAAAGACAGCCTGACCCGCGCCCAGGAGCAAGGCACACTGCTGGACTGATGCTTGCTCGCCCCGCACTGTGCTCCACTGACCTGATGCTGAGGTCAGAGGTCACACCCATCCAGGATATAGCCATACTCTACCGTATGCCGAGCTCGCCGCCCGACCCGGGTGTGTGCGTGAGACACGAATCACTGTCCACATACTTTTGGTCTGATGACGTGTCGAGAGTGGTGATGATGTAGCAGAGAGGAGACATGGCCAGAAGTATGTGGACACGTCAATCGTAACACTTGGCAAACCGTGTGCACGTGTGCGGGCGTCGTTCACTAACAATGCGTCCACACAAATCTGTGATTTCTGTTTTTGTACCTGAATCCGTACGCGCAGTCAGAGAACGCTGCAGCGTCCACGTCACATATTCAGCACTCCCATTAGCCTGACCGTCACTTGGTTTGTTTACGTTTGAACCGTGGTCGCTCCCGTGGAAACACTGTGGAAAGATCCGCCTCTTCTGGCCTCCTTGGACACTATTATTCAAGTTTCCTTTTCTTCGCCTTAGACACGTAAGCGTGTGTCCTTGGATAGAGAAATGGGGGCGGGGCCATATGTGGATAGTATGCTAATTATATTGCAATTGCGCAGGGCTGGTTAACGGATTAACGGCCGGTACACATGTGAATCCAGCTGTAATATGGCGCCGTTTAAGAACGTTTCCACGCAAATATTGGTGAATGAGGCCAATAGAGTTCTGATCAGCTGATTATCAATCAATCATCAGATAATGTCCATCCGTATGTGGACAGCCTAAACCGAAGTTTGACGTTTCTGTGAATTTGGAAAAGAAATACTTTTGACTGGTTGGTTCTCCACGAAGGTGTCCGCATATTTATGTCCATATGGCGTCTTTGATTATGAGTCTGCATATAGAGTTTATACAGTATGAGCAAAAGTATGTGGACAATTAAAGGTTCAGTTAAATTCTGAACAATCAACATTCAAAACCACGTCGTGTGTGTGTGTGTGTGTGTCAGAGCAGAAAAACAGATTTTAAAAGCAAAACTTTTATTTTGAAGAGACACACACAGACAGTGCCTCGCTCGCCCTCAGTCCCTCACTCTCTCACTCCATGGTTGTGAGTGTGACACCGGGCACACTAAGTCTTTTTACTAAGACTTATTTTGAAGTCTGTACTAATCATTGATTTCCTGTTGTTTAGTCAGCTGATGGATTTGTTGTGGAGCTGCAGACTGAGGTTTGACCTTTGACCCAGATTCACCTCTGCCCCCTCGAACACCCAGCCTGTGGGTTGGGGGCGGGGCTTCTTCTCAACTCACACCTGGAATGTACCAGTTTTGTTTTTTTGCTGTCATGTTTTTGTTTTTTTTGTTGTGAAATATTGAGTATTGATCTGTTATTAGTTTTATTGTTTGCCGTTTATAGATTTGTGATTTTTTTTTTTTTTTTTTTTTTTTTTTTTTTTTTTTTTTTCCCCCCCCCCTGGTCAGTTTGTGCTTTTGTCGTGCGTCTACGGAAGCCTGTCGGTGCCAGAAATGCTCAGTTTCATTTAAGTGATGATTGAAAACAAAAACTCTACTGATATTCCTTTAAATAGCAAACTGATTCCTACAAAATAAAAGCCTCTATAGTGGGGGAAATTGGGGTTAAAACAGAAATCAAAGAATCTGTTTGACTTCCTGCAGTGCCCCCGGTGGCCTGGAGGAGTTTATATTTGTGGCACCTGTGAGCCTCCGTACCTGACCTCACTCTGTTCTTCTTCTGATTGAATGTCAGCTCGTTGCCTCCTCACAGCTCTGATTGTCACTCCCACCGAGGCCCGACGTTGGGTCATCGATTGGTCCCGCCTCTCTGACTAACGGAGGTGATCGATCATTGGACGGATTAATGGTGGAATGTTCAGGGGCTTTTTTCAGGTTTCCTGCAGAGAAAACTATTTACAGAAACGGGAGCTGCTCACAGTTTTCAGCCGCTTTCACGGGACGTGATGTCACAGCGGAGAGCGCTGCAGCCGCTGACAAGTTAAAGCTAGGCCGCTCGCTGATGTGGTGGGAAGGTCGAGTTGTGGTTGTGGCGTAGCGACAATCGACTGTTTGATGAGTTTCAGCGCTTTCTGAGATGTAAACTGCCCGTGTGCATGCTACGTGACATTTACACACCTGTGCGTATGTCTGAAACTTAACGGACTAAACGCTGTGCGAGCATTATGAACAATGCACACCGACAATTATCTGAAGTGACAGCAGGGAAGTTCACGCCTCCCTCCTCTGGGGAAACGTCGAGGAGTTCATGTTCACGTTTATGGCATTTCTCAACAGCGATGCGCCACCTGGTGGCAGATGGCTGCATGATATTTAGGACACAATCAATTACCGCCATTGGTCAATTTAAATTTTACCAACTGGATTAACTCGTACGTCTGGTAACGACTAGTGACAGTAGCGACCACGCAGTGACCGCATGTGAGGTCAGATGTGCCCGCTGCTGTAACTCACAGTTCAAACAGGAAGTGAGGCATCTTGGTCCAACCGTGGCGTCGTGGGACTGAGGTTTTTTTTGGGGTTTTTTGTTTGTTTGTTTGTTTTTTAATCATAACTTTGACGATGTGAATCAGCACGCGATGTCTCGCTGAAGGACGCCATCTCTGTTTGACCTCACAACATGCTACATCTGCCCCATTATACACCGTGATGATGTCACAGTGATGTAGTTTTCAGATTGTTAGTTGACAGATGGTGGGAAACAGACCAAAAGAGTACGCACTGATTCAGTTGAAATTAAACAGCAGAAAAAGTAAACGAATCCGCACCAAACGTCACGCCGGAGCATCGAACCCTGAGCGTGTCCAGGTGGACTGTGTGTGTGTGTTTGGGGGGGGTCGTATTGATAGAGACTTGAGGTGTTTGTGAGGACATTTCAGGCATTTTTCCAGTGGAAACACTGAGGTGAAGGTGGGCGGGGCTTCCTGCTCAGACTGCAGGTGAATAAAACATAGACAAGCGGAGCGAGCAGCTCAAAGCTGCGAGCTAATGAAACATTTAAACCTTGTTTTCCTTTTGCGAGTCCTTCATCCTGCAGACACGTCGTCCTCCTGCTGGAGTCGTCAGCTGCTGTTAAATTATTCACCTTTTTTCCGTCTCGCTAATATTTCAGTGTGTGTGTGTGTGTGTGTGTGTGAGAGAGAGAGTGTGAGACTGTGAGTAATGAGGTCACTGAGACTTTCCAAACAGACCAGGTTTCAGGGTCGGAGTCCTGGTACCGTTTACCTGGTACAAAACCAAAAGGTAGGTGTGTGTGTGTGTGTGTGTGTGTGTGTGTGTGTGTCAGTGTGTGAGAGAGAGAGTATAAATAGATGATACATGAGGACTCGTACATCTTTAATGATGCGACTTGTCGGAGCAATGACATCACTCTGCTTGTTTTACCCTTCACATTAAAACGCTTCACAGCGTCAGTGTGTTGTAGCCTTTAGTTAATGCTTTTATTCTGAAAAGTATTAACTAAAGAGGTAGGAAACGGTGATGAACGACTCTGGTGATCTAAGGTCAGACTGAAGTGGTGTTTTCTTGTCTGCTTCCTGTTTAAAGTGACTCTGTGTCCCAGCATGCATCAGAGAAACATGCAAGTGTTCGCGTCAGTGGGTCCTTGATTTCCAGGCCCCGTGACAGCGGCGAGCAGCTCCTGTTGTCGTGTTCGTCTGATGTTTTTGGAAGCTCCGTTATCAGTGCTTGCTAACGTGTGGTGTTGCGCTGTTATGCGTCTCCTTTTACAGAGTAGATGATTTTTAAAAAATGGCGTTGATGAGTCAGATCCTGTTTGGAAGCCTCTGTATTAGTTGGCTCACCTGTGCAGGTGGAGCTGGGCGGCCTCACTGTTGGCGCTAAAAAGGTAAACACACGTTTCTACTGTATTTTCTTTTTTCGTTCTGTTTCGATGTGTCTGCACCAAGCCGACACCATCATGGCTGCGGGCGGACGGACGGGCGGGGGGCTTATGTGAAGACGACATGGAGTCACCCGAGGACCGACAAACGGTAACTAGTGGGGGAGTGTCTGATTGTAATCCCGCCCCTTACGCTCTCCCCCCAACAGGTGCTGTCTGAGGTCACGACCTCTGACCCCAGGCGCGGTGTTTTTGGGGTCAGCTGGGTGGTTTCCTGTCCTTGCCGCGTCTCGCCTGGCGGACAGAAACAGACTGTTAATCTCTGACGATTTTATTTTCTCAGTTTGTAAACAATGTATATTTTAAAGCTAATAAAATATTTTAAACAAAGCTCCGCCTCCTCGCCTGTTATTGTTTTAAGGACCTTTAAGTCAGGTTGGAGTTTATTTCCTTCATGCAGTACAAACCAATCAGATCGTCTCGTGTCTGAGCTTCACTTCCTGGTTCAAACTTTATTAATACAGCAGCTCATGAACAGTGTGACTGACTGAAGCAGGCGCTCTGTGTTCGACCTTTTGCGTTCTCATCGTGGGGTCACATGACCTGTGAGACCTTCGCGTAGTTCCCTGAGGTACTGCGCAAGTAAATGGGCGATGCTTCTGTTACCCATGCCCAAGCAGGTTTTTATCTACTAGGGGCGACCGTGGCTCAGGGAGTTGGTTCGATCCCTGGACTCTCTGTCCTGGTCGTTGTGTCCTTGGGCAAGACACTTTACCCTACCGCCTACTGGTGTTGGCCAGAGGGGCCGATGGCGCGATATGGCTTCTGTCAGTCTGCCCCAGGGCAGCTGTGGCTACAACTGTAGCTGCCTCCACCAGTGTGTGAATGTGAGAGTGAATGAATTGTGGTATTGTAAAGTGCTTTGGGTGCCTTGAAATCTAATCCATTACCACTGCGATGGTCGAGGAGGTGGAGCCGGGATGGACCTGGCAACCTCCTGATGGCGCCGCAGTTCTGAATGTGGATGCAGAGATGGACTGCTTTTCAGTGATTGATCAATAAATGCATTGAGCAGCAGATTTTCCCCCACTGTGACGCGTGTGGAGTTTGTAGCTTAATGTTGGGAGGAGGAGCAGCAGCCTTTCCTCATGTATTTAGGGTGGAATTCCAGATGTCAGAGCTTATGTCGATCGAGTGGAATAAAGATTCCAACGTCCAGGTATGTTACACCTGGTCTGTAGCGTCTGTGGACGCTCCTGTTACCTGCTTGCAAAAATAACCAGGTTTATCAAGCTGTTCCCGAACGCCTCGTCAGCGACCGTTTCCTCTGAGGCTGGACGGTAGCCCCACACACAGATTTGTATCAGGCTCTGCTGCCACCTGCTGGTAGCCGCAGGAACTGAGTCTTGCTGCGCCTCCCTCTGTGCGATAACTCAGCAAAGGATTGTGGGTAATGCAGTTTGAATCACCTGTAACAAGCTTCCAGTGAACAAGGAATCAGCCGGAGAACGGACTGTCCGGAGTATTTTAATGCAGGGGGACCTTTGAACTTTTACATTAAGTATGAACCAAATCAGAGTCTTTGAATTTAAAACGGTTTCAGGAAAAAAATAGAAGAGAATCACCTGAAACCATCAGAACCATAATGACCATTTCAGCAAGAAATATCCTCAGAGACACGTGAAGCATGTCCCTTCACATTAAAAGCACAAGAACATTCACGATCTCAATTGGAAAAGAAATTGCTTTGATTTTAACAGACATGGACCAATCACAGGGCTTCACTTTAGTTAGGAAGGCGATGCACATCTGGAACAGCTGCTTTCAGTTTTTCAGGCTACAGAAGAACTGTTCCAGAACCTTCTCCACCTCGTCCTCGCTGTAATCTCGCACCACAAAGTTCTTGACGTCAGTGGCTCCTCGGATCATGGCCGACAGGACTGCACAGAAACAGGAAGTCAGCACGAAGCAGCCAACCAGGTTGAAGCGTGTCAATGAGGAAACAGGAAGTGCACTCACTTCGTCCTGACGATGGTCTAAACAGGCAGAAGATTTTTTTCTTCATATCGACGGCTCGACCAAGCTCGTAGCCAACACCCAGAGACGGCTGCGTCACCTCTGCAACAACCACTGAGATCAGAGGTCAGAAGTCACATGGGTCACTGGCTCAAATTCCGTGATCAACGATCAACAAAACGATTGGTTCTCACCATCAGATTGACGCAGCCAATCCAAGTCTCGGTTGTGAATGGCCTGGTCCCCGGACGCTGCATTGTTCTCTCCTGTCCAATCATAGTGCAGCAGTTCAGTGACATAACGCACACACAAACACTCTTATTTTGAAGGTCAGAACCAGAAAACCAAACCTGAAATGGATACAGTTAATGTGACTCCGCCCATTTTTGTGACGCAAATGCTTTTATTTCTGAATCTTTTTTATTTTTTTATTTTTTTTTTACCTTGGAGGTCAGCAGGTGCTGGTGTGACCTCGCCCTCTCTGATGCTTCACGTTTGATAAAGCTCGTCACTCTGACTTTGGCTGTTACTTCCTGCACAGCTCTCTCTCCCTCTGTGTCCTCAGAGACCAGTTTACCATCAAAGCGCTGTTATTGTCAGGCACCAGTCTGCTGCTGTGTTCAGTGTCGGCCTCTGACATCACAGCCTCATTTCTGCTCTTCAATACTGAACAAATGTTTGCTCAGCTGTGTCTGTAACTTTGCTGTGCTTCACTTCAGCAGCATCAGGTAATGTTCACATGCTGATTCATGGTTTGCTTCAGTTTAATATTTTTGAGGTTATCTGCTATAAAAAGCCAAAGCAGGAAAATGTTCTCTATGTTTTTATCCTCAGTTACTTTGACACGAAGGCCTCTGCTGTAATGCTCTCACACCTGATGGATGAATGGATGGATCAATAAAAGATTCTGATTCTGAAGTCTCACAGCTTTGTTTTCATACACAGACATAAAACATGGAGATGTGCTGATAACTGATCAGAATTATGATATTTCTGACTGTCTCAGTTGGAATCGAATAGAATCAGAGAAATCGATTCCCAGCCTCTTCCACCATGTGAACGCGCACCGTTCTGACTGCCGGTGTTCTGGGAATCCATCCTACCCGACAAACCATCCTACCCGTTGTTTCTACGCATGCGCACAACACGAACTTCAGTGGCAAATCGTCCTACCTTTGTTCATATGAGCATATGAGTTTTCTGTGTGTGACCTCTGACCTCTGTCGCTGAGCTCGGCGCTGCTCACGTGCTCGGTCAATACGGTCCCGTAGCTCTGTAGCGCGTGCACGATCCTCCGGTACACGTGCACGTCGTCCCTCCCGCCGCGGATGCTGCCGCAGAAATAAACCTTCATCCCGTTTCTACTCAGACTCTACTGACGGTTCCCGCGCTGTCGCTATACGTCACCGGAAACAGGTGACCGTGCTCGGAGCTTGCGCCCTGAGCTCAGACTGACAGGTAGCTGAACGTCACGGAGGTGAAAGGCCAACAGCCCTCCTCCTCCTCATCGGGATCGCGTGCCTTCACGGGGTCTGACACCTGAGGGTCACCCCCACCTGTATCTATAACCACACACAGGTGTTTATTTCCACTGCTGTGATTGGCTGCTTAGACTCTGATTGGCTCAGACAGAGTTTAGGGTGAAATAAAATTTAAAAATCAAACTTATTCTTCTGTGGTTTAGTCCTGACAAACTATCTGTCGTTTCAAAATAAGGCATTTCAAAGCACAACATCAACTGTCAAAGGTCTCTGACACACTAAAAGTGTTTCCACTAACAGGTACTTTACAGCTGGTTTCCGATTCTCCCTCCCTGTATTTCCGCCTGGATGTTTTTCCAGTTTGGAGGCTTCAGATTTTTGCAGTTTGCAAACAAAGTTCCTCCGATTCTGTCGCACTGTCAGAAACAGCTGTTGCTGTCCTGCACAGTAATTCATAAACACAGATATTATTTGATGGATGTGGCTCCTGGCGTTGTTTACAGGTGCTGTCAGCCTGCCAGTAGATCACCTGTCGGGAGTTTTCTGGCACAGCTGTGGGGAACATCTGCTTCCCTGCAGAGCTTTACTCCACAGAGGTGACCTCTGAACCCCTGCTGTTGTATTTGGAGTTATTGACTGTGTCACTATTGTGAAACAGCACTGGAGATCTTCATGTATTTATTAAAGACGATAATTCATTGATACGACCCGAAAGAAGCGCCTCAACACATTTGAATCCACATCTTCAGGTTCGGGTTGATAACCAGATTTGTGGTTTATCTTGGAAAGGTGCTTGTGTTGGATCAGACTGGATCAGTAGCACTCGTGTTCGGGGTTGTTGACGGCAGTGACTCACACTGAACATTTCTCTTCCATAAATATAAATGTGGGAAGCAGAAAACTGTGAAAACAACAAAATGCACTTTTGTTTATGATACAACTTCTTTTTGGAGTGAAAAAGAATCTGTTACTGTTCATGATGTTTCATATTTTTGTGCTGTTGCTGTAAATATTTGTGTCTGTTCTGAGTTTTAGTTATTAAATCGAGTAAACATCATGAATATCTTCACTTTAAGACACATCATGTGACCTCTTTGTTTTGTTTTTTTTATCTGAAGTAGACTCAGGTGAGTTTTCTGCTGACTTCCTGTTCACCTGTGACTACACACAGCTGTGAATGCATCAGAACATTACTCTGAAATACAGGCTTTCATTTTGGAAAAACTGACGTACAGGAAGTCTGAATTTGATGAAACCTTTATTATCCCATATGTACACGATCAATAAATCAAAAAGTGAAGGTCGGAGAAGAAACAAC